TGGATCTGCAAGACAAGAGGAAGAGCTGCATGTAGAAGTGGCATCTAAAGTGGGAAAAAACTGTAGCTGGCTGGAAAATAAATCCCTGCATTGCTAGGGATCCTGAAAGGAACAAATGAGGATCAGCTGGGTGGGAGGGAACATGCTTTGATGCTGGAGCACCAGAGCCGGGGAGGGGGGTCAGTTTTAGCACCCCACAGATTTCCTGGGACAGTGGTGGCCAAGCAGCCCATAAGGATTTTAGGAGCAGCCCACCAGACATTTTCTTACCATTGCCCATGTGCAGGGTTGCCAGATCCTGCTGGTTTCCATCCACATAAATGTTTTCCTACTGGTGTTACTGAAGTGACCTGCACGTAAAGCCAGGGCCCGTAAAGCGAGGCATGTGCTGACTGCCCACAGCGCTGCTCCGGGTCAGTCGGCACCCCCTGCAATTCTAGGCACGCAAGCGCAGGTAGCAAAACTGCTCCCTCTCGGGAGATCGTCTTAGTTACGACAATCTTGTGGCCCACTAAGATGAAAGAGGCCCCCATGTGGCCCACACTCTAGCCTAGGTTACCCATCGCTGCCCTGCGAGACACTTCCCAAGTCACCCAAAGTGGGATGAATGTACCTCTCTCAACTCACACAAACACGCTTTGCTCATTTATACTGCAAAGCTGTGGTTCTAACAGAGGTATAGCGAGGGTGTTAGGCACCCACGGGCAAAGGAAAAATTTGCACCTCCACCCGCCGCGGGGCGGGGCCCCGAACCTGGAGCACAGCTGAGCCCAACCTTGGGAGGAAGGGGGTGGGGCCCTTGTACTGCATCTTCCCCCTCCCTCCAGTTTGGGGCCAGGCCCCCACATGCACTAACCTGCCGGCAGAGATGGAGGAGGGTCGGACTGGGGGCGGAGAGACAGGGAGGACGCTCCAGCAAGTGGCCGTGGAGGAGCAGGCGAGCTGAGGGATGACAGGGGGAGCGGGTACTAAACTAGCACCCCCCCCCGCAGCATGGCGCCCAGGAGCAACTGCCCTCTACCCCCGTCTCTCCTCGCCACCCCCCTGGTTGAGAACCCAGTGGCAAGTGTGCCCCAGGCGTGCACAGTAGGGATGTCAGCATACAGACAACTATACAATAAACTGATATACCTGGGCTTCTCGGTTAACCCTGTCGACTACACGCACTCCCCCTCCCCCGCTGCCTTTGTATCAAAGGCAAGAAGGGCACCGGATCAGCCTGCTTCCTTCCACCCCCATGCTGCTGCCTCTCAGGCCCTCCACGGACAGGGGCTGCTGCCAGAGCAGCCTTTGTCCAGAAGGAGTTCAGACCGCCTGTGGACAGGGGCTGAGGCCACCCCGCGTTCCTGCCTGAGATACAAAGGCAGCAGTGCAGGGTGGCCGGAGGCTCCCAGGAAGTGGGACTAGGAGACCACTGGCTACCAGCCTGCCTCTCGCAACTATCGAATAGTCGTGTAACTGCTAAGATTTCACACGGTTCCACGACTATTCAATTATACACTAAGGTTCCTAGTGCACAGAGGGGGGACCGACTCACCTAGCCTTTGCCTCGTTCTACAATAGGCTACACAAAAAGCACTAGCGGGGTCAATACACTAAAATTTCATACAGGCAAAACAAGGAAACCAGCAGGTTTTCCGAATTAAGAGGCGGGACACTTCTGTATTTTTATACCTGACTTTGAAAGCAAGTTGTTTTAAGTGAGGTGACTAGACAAATCCGACTCTTGAAACCCTTTCAAGTCACCTGGCGAGGCTACGAACCCCTGCCGCAAGGCAGCACAAAGCACCAAGGAAGGCGGGTGAAGAGGGAATTTAGCATTTCATTAGCCCAGGTCCTTTTAGGGACAC